CCCCAGGGGTCAGTACTAGGCCCACTCTTGTTCATAATCTACATAAACGATCTAGATACTGGGATCAGCAGTGACATAAGCAAGTTTGCGGATGACACCAAAATAGGGCGGCAGATTAATTCAGGGCAGGATGCAAATGCATTACAGGAGGATCTAAATAAACTGCAGGGGTGGTCTGAAAAATGGCAAATGAAATTCAACACCAGCAAGTGCAGCATACTTAATATTGGAAGAACAAATACTGTCAATGTATACAGCCTTACCAACATCAACCTAGAGAAGTCGACTTGTGAAAGAGACCTAGGGGTACTTGTAAGCCCGGACCTATGGCCTAGAAAACAGTGCGTTAATGTTCGAAATAAGGCAAACAGAGTACAGTATTGGGTTTTACATATAGAAGTGTAAGTAATAAGAGTGCAGAGGTCTTATTGCAACTATATCTTGAGCTAGTCAGGCCGCACCTCGATTATGCGGTTCAGTTCTGGTGCCCTTATTATAGAATGGATATCAATTCACTAGTCGGTGCAGCGAAAAATGACGAAAATGATTCCGGGACTTAGAAACCTTCCATATCAGGATAGGTTAAAGAAACTAAACTTGCATTCCCTAGAAAGACGAAGAGTGCGGGGAGATATGATAGAAGTATTTAAGTGGGTGAAAGGAATCAATAAAGGCGATATAGATAAAGTTCTTATAGTATCCGAGCAAGATAGGACTTGTAGGAACGGATTTAAGTTGGATAAGTTTAGGTTTAGGAGGAAGATAGGGAGGAACTGGTTCACAAATAGGGTGATGGACCAGTGGAACAAGCTTAGCAACTTTGTAGTAAGTGCTGGAATGCTGGAAAGTTTCAAAAGGAGGCTGGATAGATTCATGGATGATAGAGAGTGGTAGTAACTCTCGACAGGAGCTGCCATGTACAGGCCAACCGGCCTATTGCAGACTCCTTATTTTCTTATGTTCTTATATACACCTACACCTTCACAAAGCACTAGTCAGACCACACCTGGACTATCCCCCAATTCCACTCAACACTATAACAAAATCAAATAAACTCAAAATACAAGCAGTTCAAAACATAACCATCAGAAGAGCAGCAAAACTCAGACCACCATATACAAAAAACTCCAGAGAGTTACACACAGAACATAACCTAACCACAATCAACATCAGAACACATAATCAAGCATTAGCAATATGGGAAAAGCTACAAGAACTAGAAGACCCCATATTCCAACAATTGGTAAATTTTTCTTGTCTCACCATTCACTTTTAGCAAGTTAAAAATATATTTTTCTAGTGTATTTGTGTGTGTTGAGACCGAATATGACCTTCCTTTTTGGCGGAAATAAGCCTTTTTTTTGCGATTTTTTTCGTTTGACGTTTTCCGAGAAAAAAAAAGTGGCTAAGCGCCTAAAAAAAAAAACCACTAGAAAAACAATAACCAAACCTAACCTAACTGACTCTCACCATATGATGGAATCACCTATTTCTTACCTTATTGGCCTGGTTCTTGTTCGTTGCATTCTGGGATTCTTACCCAACGCCACATATGTTGGTCTTTGCGATATTTACATTCAGTCTTGCTCTTAGTGCCCTTAACTGAGGTTGGAAGAACACCATGCGATCGAAAAATACTATAGTTTCTTCGTTTTTTTCCAAAAACTCGCAATCAGCTCCATATACTTTAAGTGACACCCATCGCAGACTTCCATGGTCGGAACTGAACTTGAATTTCAAAATATGAGAGACCAAAGAGAATACTCGAATTTGATTGGGTCAAAAATACCGCGAATTAAACCCAAAAACATTTTAATTGATTTCAAAATCAAAAAAGGCTTTTGATTGGCCGCGTGACGTGTACAGCAACGCATGTGCAAGATGATTTATGAAGGAGACGCAGGAGACACGCAGTGTTGGAGGAGAGGCAGATGATAATGGCGGGATGTTAATGGAAGAAAATAGAAAATATTTTGGAAAAGCTATCTCCGTTATTATACATTTCCGCCGGTAATGTAATAGATGAAAATTATCTTATAATTAGATGTCTTATTCGAATATGATAATAGATTTGTGGTAGGAATGAACGGTGTGTAAATAAAATAATACCCAACAATTAATGCAAGAAGACATTACCAGAACACACAACTGGTGGCCAAAGAGCAGAACATTTGACAACACAGAACCAGAACCAATATACACGAAATAAAAACGAGGAAGACTCAAAGGACACGGAGGCCCCCCTCCCCAAACACCACAATCTACCTTAGCTTAGATTAGCTTGGCTTGTCTTCCCTTGCTGTAGTGGACATGAACTGCTGGCATGGCAGACTTAACCTCGTCCCCGCAAGGTGGACAGCCCGCCTGCTATCAATCTCCCTCTTTATTTCCCACTTCCTAACCTTTACCTTCCTCCTACACCGTCTTCCACCTTCCTGAGCCAATAGGCTCTCTTCTCTCCATCCCATCGGATCGGGAGACCATTCTACTCTGACCTACTGGACCAGCAAGATCTCTCTACAGTGCCTCACCACCCAGCTCCCTCAGAAAGCTCCTCGCCCTACAGGACCTCTGAGCAAGTTACTGCTCACCTAGTAACTCCTTAGCACTGCACTGCGTTTTCTATATACATATATATATATATATATATATATATATATATATATATATATATATATATATATATATATATATATATATATATATATATATATATATATATAACGCGTTGTGAGTTTCTATTCTACCTCATTCCTAAGTGTGAGATATCTACATGTACGTACGTTTGTGTGCCCATACAAAGAGACAATAGACAAAACAAAGAGAATTGACAACTGGCCATACTGTATACTACACTCTTCCCTACAACTGCTGGTTGATCACTTGCTGTCCGCTTACCAGCCAATCCGCAACTCCCTAGCACTGCATTGTACATACAATATATATACTGTATATATAGAAAACGCCATTGTGAGTTTTCCTTCTCACCTCTATCCTCAGTAAGAGATCTCCTACGTGTACGTATGGATGTAAGCCTAACATAGATATATTTGACAACTGGCCACAAACAATACCTCGTAACGTCACACCACTACGTCATTCGGTGTTCTGTGTACCGCTACTTACGAGCTCACACAATAAAATGTTAAATATCTCGCTTAAATGTAATTTGCGCCAGAAATGTCATTGAAGAAAAGTGTCTTAGAATTGTCAACATTACTGATTGCAACTACAAAATTCCAGGCCGTTGCCAACACGGTTTTATGCCGGGGCGCTCTTGCTTGACACAATTGCTCAAGGTATTGGATATTTGGACCCATATTCTAGAACGGGGTGGTAATATCGACAATATTTACCTAGATTTTGCCAAGGCTTTCGACAGTGTACCCCACGAAAGGCTGAAAATCAAACTGGAAGGGTACGGAATTCGGGGAAATGTCCTAGCGTGGATAGAAGACTTTCTACATGACCGCAAGCAATGTGTGGTGATTAATGGCACGAAATCGTCATCTGTACCTGTAACAAGTGGGGTACCGCAGGGTAGTGTATTGGGCCCGCTGTTGTTTGTTTGTTTCATAAATGATATGCCTGACGTTGTACACTCCTCCATACAAATGTTTGCCGATGACGCCAAGTTATTTCGGGAAATTAAGAACCAAGCGGACTGTGAAGAGCTGCAGAAGGACCTCTGTGGGCTCCAGGAATGGTCGAAGGAATGGCTGCTGAGATTCAATGTCACGAAGTGTAAGAGGATGCACCTGGGGCGTACCAACGGTAAGGAGGCGTACCATATGTCCCAACGGGATGAAGAAAATTTACTAGTTGAGACTGTGTGAGAAGGACCTAGGTGTGTATGTTGACAATGAGCTGAAGTTCTCGGGCCATTGTGAGAAGAAGGTAAATCAGGCAAATAAATTATTGGGTCTTATAAGAAGGTCGTTCAGATATCTAGACGGTCCGTCCATCGTGACGATCTTCAGGAGTGAAGTGCTTCCCCATCTGGAGTACTGTCACCCCATCTGGTCCCCGAGATATGCTAGGGACTGTCAGTTGGTTGAAAATGTTCAAAGGAGGGCCATCAAACTGGTGCCTGCACTTCGGCATCTCAGCTACCCTGAGAGATTGGAGCGCCTGAACTTGCCTAGCTTATACTACAGACGGGCAAGGGGGGACCTAGTTGAGGTTTATAAGCATCTCAGGGGGCACTACTCAGTTGAGTGTCCTTACTTGGAGCTGGCGGACGCTCGCCCCACAAGGGGTCACAGCTCAAGATTGAAGAAGCCGCAAGTCCGGAAAACCGTGAGGGCAAACTTTTTCGGAGTGAGGGTTGTAAACTCTTGGAACAATCTACCAGAGAGTGTTGTGACGGCACCGAGTGTGAGCTCTTTCAAGAGAAGACTTGACCAACACTGGAGCGGGTTCAGGTACATTCAGGAGCCGGTGCATGCCCAGTATTTGCCAACAGTGCGTGACAGAGACGTGACCGATCGCCCGGGCGGGTAGCGAGCCGACCTTTTGGTGAAGAATATAAAGGAAAAGAGACGTGACCGATCGCCCAAGCGGCTAACAAGCCGATCAGTGGCGAAGAGGATAAAAGTAAAAAAAGTAAAAGTAATGACCTTAGTAGTTGATGATGGAACTATGATTTTTTTTAATGAAATACATAATATACAATATATATTATGAAAACAATCGAGCTTACGAGATTATAAAAGTTAGAAGTTTAGCAGGAATCAGTGAGAAATTTAAGATTACTCATATAGATATGAATTCCAATCATTTTCTGTTTTTAATAAAAGCACTTTCAAAGCTGCTCACTGTTTCTTCCTTTGGATATTTCTGTACTATACCCTTTTTTTTTTTTTTAGATTTCCAATGTCAAATAATGTTCTTGTTCTATAGCAGTTTTAAAAGTTGATCATCACAGGTTGGATATAACCATTGTGATGTGATTATAAATCTTAAAAATGGAATATATAGGGACACAGGCAGAGTACATAAATATTCAAAACAAGAAACAGTGAGCAGCTTTGAAAGTGTTTTAATTGCTAGTTAGTTGTACGGCATGGCCCACCTTATTATTGGTCGAGGCAACACAATAACAAGCATGGCGACCCCTTCATATGTTGCCTTAATAAATAGTCGACCATTATCAACCTCTGCTGCCGCATTAGGTAAAAGAAACTTCAGAAAATTCCTCACGTATGGGAAAAGAGGGACCAGATATCTCAAAAAGGATATGCGAACTAATCCAGACCCAGAACTAGAGAAGGTGTTTGGTGAGTACTATAGAGGTCTGGCCAACCCTTACTACTGTTACTGTGTGTATAGGAAAACCTCAAGAGTTATTGATTATAGTGCTTTTCGTCATATTCTATAACGTTTCCATCGGAAATTTATATTTTTAGAGTAATTATATACCGGTACTGGACAACTCGTACTCAAGCAAATTGTACCCATCAGAACATGTCAAGTCGTACCCAATTATAAGATAACTCGTACCCAATTTAAGAGACAGTTCGTACCCATATATATATATATATATATATATATATATATATATATATATATATATATATATATATATATATATATATATATATATGTAACTTCAGCATTGTTAGAAGACTTTACCAACCTAACCAAAGAAATTACCTAACCTTACCTAACCTTACCTAACTCCCGAGTCATGAGGCTCAACCCTTCAGGGTGCTGGACAACTCGTACCAAGCAAATCGTACCCATCAGAACATGTCAAGTCATATCCAATTTCAAGATAACTCGTACGCAATTTACGAGACAGTTCGTACCCATATATATATTTAGAGTAAGAATAAAAACATCAAAACAAATAATTTGTCGGCTGTGAAGTCCTTCATATTAGCCAATTTTATTTTCTGTCATTCCAATGTTTTTTTGACGTTTATTGACGTTTTCTGAATGATTTTGATCGTACCTAACCAACCAAGGTGAAATAATAATTTCAGTCATCTACCTTTTTGAAAGTTGAAATTATGTTTTTCCGATGGTTTTGATGCATTTGAATGATTCTGACCGTCATTTCTACCCCAAATCACTGCTTTTTGAGCTACCTCCTGCCCCCTTATCCAACAATAATGGGGACCTCCAGTGGGAACCAAGGGTTTTGGGTGGGGGAAAATCACAAAAAGTAGTAATTTGCAATATAAATGAAGGTCAGAATCATTAAAAAAAAAAAATCAGAAAAACATAATTTCAACCTAAGCTAACCTAAATTGTCAGACTAGCTCATGCATAATGCAGCACAGTAACCAACAAACAAACACACGTGCGCTCTCTTGAATGGTGGTAACTGAAAATCTAAGATCGGCTGGATGACCGAAATTATGATAACACGTCAACCTAACCTAACCTACCCACCGAACCCGGGAACTATATCTAACCTAACAAATTCCTAAGATTCCCCGGATGACTGAAATTAAAATAATACTAATGTTGTGGGGTAAAATACTTAAAAAGAACATCAAACAAACCTTTGAAAACCTTACCTAGGAGTTCATAAATTGTAAAAATGTTATGAATCACTTTTGAGTTTATGGATCCCTCCTCATTTGAGCACTGAAAACGACACTAATAAACCCTAAAACAACACCATCTACTAAACACCTTAAACGTGAATTAGGTAAACTTTTTATCTTTTTAGGATTTTTAAAGGTTAGGAAATGTTAGGTCAGGTTTTCAAAGGTTAATTAGTTTTTTTTTTGTGTGTGTGTGTATTTTACCCCACATTTTCCCTCTATTTCAAAGCCCTGCCCACTTTGAACAAGAAATATTGTTGGTAATTTTATCAGTCAAAATACGTGAAAAATATTCATTTCCAATGGAAAGGCTATAGAATAAATTATATAAATATTTTTATCTCTTTCTCCCTGTATAAGACTCAATATATAAGATGTTGGCAACATCTAGATATTTACCAAATCAGTAGTTGAGATCATTTTAAGACACTTTTCTTCTATGGCTTTTCCCCCTGCAATTGACCTGACCTAATTGGGGGGCTCTACCCCCTACCCCCTGTGTAAGTCGTTTACGAGGGAAACATCATAGAAGAAAAGTGTCCTAGAATTATCTAAACTACTGATTCCAATAGTTAATTACAGTATTGTACTAAGATTCCCCAGATGACCGAAGCTAAAATAATACCATAAAAATTATAATGCACAAAACCTAATAGAACCTGACCTAACCGAAGAAACCTACCTAACCTTACCTTACTTCATAGCCTGGGGGCTCTGCATATTAAGCAGAAAGAACTTACTTTGATATCTGCTACCAATGAGAGCAACTCTGTTGAAGCTGTATGGTGTGATTTAATTTTTATTTATTTTATTTTTGTTTTTTTTTGGACATGAGAGTACAGTTACTTGTTGGCAGATTTTTATCAGTGGACTATTAATTTAGTTATATATATATTTTTTAAGAATATAAAGACAATTTAAATTTAGTATTTTAGAGTAGGTTAGGTTTGGTTAGGTAGGTTAATTTGGTTAATTTTATGAATGATGAATTCTCTACAATCCCTCTTGGCAACTGCTAACATTCATGAAGCACCAGATACTGTCACATTCTATAATTTGTGGTTAAATGAACCAAATGATACTTTCCAAACCTGATCTGACTTCCCCAAACCAAAAATTCTACCTTACAAAACTCAAACAAATTTACTGTACTGTATAAGATTTTTATTTTATTTTATTTTTTATTTATTTATGTATTATTTTTACTTTGGGGGGGGGGGGGTCTGCTGTTGCTACATGCAATCACTGAGAAGACCATAGGGCATTGGAGGTCGAATTATGCCAAAAAAAATTACATTGACGTTCTATGGTGAAACGTTATATAGAAGGTAGTTAGGGTACGTAATTGGTCTGGATTATATCCTGTATAACCGAACAGTGACGGATTAAACTTTTTTCCAGACCGAGGCGTGAGACCAGTCGGTGTTGTGACTGAAAAAAAATTTAAGAGCATCCCTGAAATGATTCCTGAAATCATTGTTCCAGACCTAAATGGTTTTAAGGTTGGTAGAAACCCTCTTTGGTTTACATTTTACAAGCTGAATTGTAGTGAGATTAAAAATTAGCATCATCTTTGCCATATGATTTTTATTATTAAGTGATTCATGTTCATATGACCAATTGGTTTTATTGGGAGTATTTTGCTAGTTAGCTACTTCAACTGTCAGCAAGTGCTTAGGGGGAGTTTATACTGTATCATCATACTATGTCAAAGGGTTATTGTAAATGTAACTTTACCTTCCCTGTGTAATTTCCACAAGCTCTCTGGGTCATGATATGGTCAGTGAGTTGGATCAAGAAGGTGCCAGTTGAATCATCATTAACAAATTACATTGCATCACACTTGCCAGTGCACTCCAGAATTTCCAAATAAATTTATTCAGTTTGTTCTCCTTGAAGTGAAATAAGTTATTTTAAATATTGTTTATGGTGATAAAATAGCAAAAATTATTTTGATGTCTGATATGTAATTTGTTCATTTCTTTTTGCCTATTCGTTTCTTTTTTGAATTTGAAATTTTCAGCTGAAGCCATATGTGTCATATAAGGTACCAGATGTAATACAAGGTAGCTTTGGACCACAAGATTTATTTTATGCAGTGTATAGTGACAAAATAGCAGAAGATGTCAAGAATAACAAATTGAATGAAGATGGCAGCCCAGCTGAGCCATCTGAAGAAGAATTATTAACAGCTGATGAAGCTAAGAAAAAAGCCCTCTCAATTGGCTCAGACATGTATTAGGTACAGTACAATTTTAGATGGTGTTAGAGCTACCCTTGTATGTTTTCAAGTTTCTGAATAATGTAGGTTTCTTTCTCTTCCTTTCTAGCATTTTTCACTCTCTCAATGCAATATGTACTTTAACTCCCCTTTGCCACCTTCATAGTTGTAATATAAGCAGAAAGGTTTAGTAAAATTGTGTTAGTTGTTACTGTATTAATGATGTATGAAATGTGTGTACAGTATTGAAATAAATGGATTAATTTTATTTCATGTCTTTTTTGCATATTAGCATTTCTTAAATGCAGTACAGGTACAGTATTTTATTACCATAGGATAAAATAGAATGATAAAGAAAGAGAAATATAAAAAGGATTATCCAATAGCTGTTATTATTCTTATTCAAGTGAAATGAAGTACAGTATTCACTGTGAGTAATTGTGCTACACTTATATTAATCAATACTGATAATAAGACTTAAGCTTGGTTTGGTTTTCTTACCTGATTTGCCAAGAATGTCTTACTCTTCCTTTTCTAGGTTTGACTTACAAGTTAAGGAGAAAATAACTTCCTGCCTTTATCTTCAGTTTCATATTTTGTTTAAAGTATCGTGGGCAACATTGGGTTCTTGGCCTTTTCAAAGCTTTTTTGTGTACTGTAAAGTATAGTATTCATTTTTTTAAGTGGCCTGCATGGCATGTATGAGTGGTGAGTCGAGACCACAAATAAGACCATTAGTAATTTTAGCCTTTATAGATTGCCTGAAGATGAGCCACCCCCCACGCTAACCTGAAGTGTGTGGATGGTCTAGACCAGTGGTGTCAAACTCAAAACCTTTCAAGGGTCAATTCTTATTTTAGTTACCCTCTTCAGGGCCAACACAAGTGCTATATCACATATTTGCAGGATTGAAGTTTACAGCTTCACACATTGCCTTACCTGGCTTACCAGGAATACCTCATTTGGGTTTGTCTGATCTTAAGTATGTAAAATTCATTTTATTAAATAAACATGATTATATCTACCTATTTCTTTCATAATTTCACGGGATGATAAATTTTACCGGCATCCCGCGGGCCACACCTAACCATCCCAAGGGCCATGAGTTTGACACCCCTGGTCTAAACTATATATCCTGTACATTATTGGTATGTACAGTCAACCTCTTTGAGGGAAATTTGAATCACTGCTAATAGGATATACAGTATGTCTATTGATTTTTATGGACTTTGGACTCTGTTGAGTTGTCTCAGATGATCCACAATAACACCAGACCTATGCGGTATGAGCTTCCAACATGGTTACCATTGTGACTTGACCGTTTTCCCACTGGTGCTGTCTCCTGCCCTATACCCCAGGTAATGCACCCCCTGAGATGGGATCATTCACAATTAAGTTATTTGGTGATACACACTTGCACTATATCTTATGATCTTCGTTTCTTCTTTTTGGAATATATCATAATTTACAGACAGTGTATTAGATGAATTTGATCTGAAGATTGATTTTTATGAATTAAGTTCTTAATCAAGCAGGCTGGGTTTGGTCAGTGCAACCAGGTTGGTGGAAGATGGTGGTGTAAATTCAGAGATAAAGTTGGGGTGTTTTAAGTTGAGATATGACTGCCCATTGCTCTAGATATTTATTCATTATAATTTTCAAATTTAAGTTTATTAACATGTACAAATGCTTCCCTGCAGGGGACATTGGGTTATTTCTTGTGTTGATCTTGGATTTGAAGTTATTTTTTTGACCAGCCTACAAAATTTATGGTTTTAATCCTGGTCTGTTGTGATTTGAGGTAACTGGCATTGTCCTTTGAAGTAACAGGCTTCTTCAGTTTACTTCTTATATTGGAGAGTGGAGGTGGCTGGTCTGATAATCTTCACTGGGGGTTCCTGGGTAACTCATCTGCAGCTTGAATTTTAAGAGTAGTTTGTACATGTAATTTTGCTCCATTTCAAGCCCAGTTCACTGCCATAAGTCAAGGTAGGAATTATTGTTCAATTTCCGTTTCTTCTGTACTTGTAAGCTTATGTTCCATCCCTTTATGATATTTTTAGTTCTCCAGGTACCTGTATCCTACTTCATATGTTGCTCTCCCCCTAAATTCAATCTCCATTGTACATTCTTTCTGAACATGCCCAAACACTAGAATTATTAACACTAGTGGCGTTTTGATATAAGGTAAATTAAACTTTTGTCTCGCGATCAGACATGCCAGTATGGCAATGAAATTTTTGCCTCAGGATCAGACATGCCAGTATGGCATTTATTTTCATTTTTTTCTAAATTTTCTGGTTGAATTACTTCAAATTTTAATGCCACTTTGTCACACCACTCTCCTGCATGGTATCAAGTTTTAAGGCTAGGTGACAACCCGCCTATGTGCGGTGGACCATGCGGTAGCAGATAACAAATGCCCGTAATGCTTCTGCCTCAATAACCATTGAGTGTCTTGGTACCAGGGATGATTTAAAAATGGCCACTATTTCAAGATATTTATCTCTTACAACCTTGATATTTATTCTGATGAAGTGATAAAGTGGTGTGTATTGAAATATTTATAATGAAATAGTGAAATATTTAATTTATGAGACGGTGAAATGGCTACTCACACTACTACTACTTTGCTGTCACTCGGAATCAAGTATGACAATCATCCAGCTATGATACAATGATATGAGCTATTAGGGATGTCACTCAGGTTGGTGAGGTTTGAGGTGATCGAAGAGGCCAATACGGGACCCGCAGCGTCGTCCACATTCATTGCATATGTGGAGGGCTCCAGCTACTGTGGGAGGGGCAGTGGAAGTGTCTTTCCGACGTTGGCGCTTGTCTGCCTCAGTTTGCAGTCGGGCTAACTCGAAAGTATTGACACCTTCTCATGTGGTGCTCCTCCAAGCGTTACGATGTGGAGTAATTGACTCCCAGGTGATGGGGTCAATTTGGCAACTTTTCAGGTTCGTCTTAAGACTATCCTTATAACTTACCTTTTCAATTGCCCATCAGCGTTACGTTTACTATATGTTAGGTGACTGTAAAGTAGCTGTTTTGGCAGTCTACTGTCGTCCATGCAGGTAACATGGCCAGTCCAACGTAGTTGTTCATGCACAATGGTAGCCTCGATGCTCCTACAGTTGGTGTCAGCAAGAATACTGGCATTTGTTCTCTTGTCTTCCAAGCGAACTTGGAGGGTGGAACGTAGACTAACGAAAGGAAAACAATTGCAGTGATGAAGAACAATAATGCAACAAAATAATGACATGTTCATAAGCTCGGGGAGAGAGTGAATAAGAAAAAAAAGAAAAAAAAGAAAAACAAATTTTACACAGCCCACACTACACTACGTAATCAGCCAACCAACCCAGGGGCCTGCGGCCTCTCCCGGGCCTGGCCACGCCCGGTTGGGAAGGGGCCAGGGAGGCGAGCGAGGGCTTGGGTACAGAGGGCACCACGGGAGGAGGGCCAGGTGGCATAGCAGGCAGATGGCGTCTGTTGCGGATGGACACCCTGCCACTGCCAGTCAACCTGACGGCATACTGCCTATGAGGGCGGGCTTCCACCACTACGCCCGTCCTGTCCTAGAGCTTGGTGGCGGAGTCCTGCACATGCATCTATGTGCCCACAGCTAGGGTAGCCAGCTGGCAGGACGCCTCCCCCTGCGACAGAAGGACCCTGTCCTGGGCTTCGGCTAAGCGCACCTCCCTCATACGAAGCGCCCGCCACCAGTGCTGGTCCACTTTATAGTGCTGTCTGGCCATGGGGATGCCGTTCCAGAGCTGGTAGCCAGTGACAAGTTGGGCGGGTGACTTGTTCATCCCCCGCAGAGGCGTGTTCAGGTACTGGAGGAGGGCCTGGGATGTCCTGTCACAGTCCAGGCTGCCCCCGAGCCCAGCCTCTGCCCTGCCATTGGACTGGGGGAAGTGGGCCGACGAAAGCCACACCTCGACCCCCCATCACTTGAGGAAATCCGTTATCTCACCGCTGGCCAGGTTTGTTGCCTCCAACCGTGGAGATCTGCATGGGTGCCCTCCACCTCGTGAAGTAACCCCGCAGGCAGGCGATGATCTTGCCAGAGGTGGCCTCGTTGGGGAAATGGGCAACCTCCAGCCAGCCTGTGAGTCGGTCAGCATATACTAGGTATGTGTGGCCCTGCAGTATCGAAAACGGCCCCACGGCGTGATGAATGTGGTCTGGCGTCTGCTATTCTCCTCTAACTCCACCTGATGAAATCCCCAGAAGGCGTCGGCGACAGTTTTGAACGAATGCACTGGCACCCCGGACTCCATGTCAAATGGTGCATGCATGTGATTTGTCTCCCTCAGACAGCTTGCATTGAGGCTGACCAGTATTCTTGGACACCACGACCATCCTAGCACACCACTCCGTAGCCTCACCAGCAGGTACTGGCTGGATGACACCTTTCCTGACGTCCTCCTCCACCTGGGCCTTCACCTTCGCTTCCCAGTGTTTTAGAATGGAAGCAGGTGTGTGACAGGCTTAGGGAGTTATGTCAGGTGGATGCAAAGAGGGGGGCCAGCCATCACTGGCAGTAGGACCTGCTGGTGTTGAATGCGGTAGATGAAAAGTGCCTGAGCAGCCATGCCTCTAACCGGGCCACATTCTCCTCCAAAGGAGGGGCACAACTGCTCCCAGGTACAGGGTTCGGAGGCAGGTTGTCAGCCACATGCTGCCCCCCTTCATCGCCCAAGGCAGCCACAGTACGCCCATGGAGAGGGAAGTCAACAAGCACCAGGTCGAAGCACTTGCAAGCCTCCAATGACAGGTAGAGGGCCTTGGCTGTCTTGTCTGCACGAAGTAGACCCCTGGTGGACCCTCGCCCACATTGAGGCGGCAGGGGGCGGACCTCAGACAATTGAGCTGTTTGTCCACCACATTCCTCAGACCATTGCAAGCCTGAAGTTGCCCCGGACACAAGCCGATGTCCTGGAGCAGGGATGGCCCTGCCACACACACCATAGCACCAGTGTTAGCCACAGCCAGCACGGGTAGCAGGGGAATTGCCTCCAGCCTGGGCCACGAACACTTGTAACCTGGGGTGGCGGGATAGCTAGGCTGCTGCCACTGTGACAGCACCTGACACATCCACAGAAGCACTTAGGGCTGGCTTGCTCCTGCAACACCTTTTGAAGTGGCCAACCTTGGAGCAACTGCGACATGCGGCCCCACTTGCAGGGCAGTTGCTCTTGACCGGGGCATGTGTCATGCTGCAGTTCCCACAGTGCACACAGCTGGGGTGTCCAG